TTTTCACTGGCTGATTTTTTCAGAAGCAGATCACCAGGCCTTTCTTTCCTAGTCTGCTTTAGTCTGGAAGCACCACTGAAATCTGTTCAGCATCATAGCAACATGCAAGCCTCCACTGACACTGCTTGAGGTGCACTGGCTGGGAACTGAACCCAGGTCTCCTCCATGGAAGGTGAGAATTCTATCACTGAACCACGGTGGTCCCTCCAGCAAGGGTGTTAGAAAAGATTTATCATCGAATTTTGGTTTGTGTTAGGTGATTTGCGGGAGAGTTTAAGGACGTGAAGGAGCCCTGGTGGCGCAGTGGTTAAGCACCTGGCTGCTAACCTTCAAAAAGAACAGCAGTTCAAACCTACCGGCCGCTCCACGGGAGAAAGATATGGTGGTCTGCTTCTGTAAAGATTTACAGCCTTGGGAACCCTGTGGGGCAGTTCTACTCTGTCCCACAGGGTCATTACGAGTTGGAATCAACTCCACAGCAATGGGTTTTGGTTTTGGTTAAGGAAGTAGAGCTTAGCTCAGGATTGAATGCTGTCAGGAAGCAGGGTAATTTTATGATTGGGTATCTTAATAAAACTTACCTACAGAGAGTACAGGCTGGAATGAGGTTAAAGCTGTAATTGGTAATGAAGCAGCAGTTTCTCAAGTTAGTTGGGAGAGAAGGACGTTTGGCATTTTCTGGCTTAGAAAAGGTTCATGTTTTATCTGTGTTTCAATATGATTATGGAAGGGTCTTGTTTTTTGTTTTGATCCATCATGGACACAAACTGGCCTATCTGATGTTGATGTTCTGGGCAACTGTTTATGTTCGGCAGAAGAATAGTAAGGCCTAGGCTGTGTATGTCATGCTAGCTCCTACAACACCACAGCCCAGATGATAATACCAGGCCAGCTCCCAGCTGTCATGGTCACTTTTCTCCCACTCCTAAAAGGGTGTCTGTAAGTTACATAAAGCATATTCCAGCTAGAAAATTATTCAAGAGTTACTCAGCGAGTCAAAGACTGGGTTGATGCTGTACAACCTATGTACAAAATAAGAGTAAGAATGTTTATAATTTAAGGATTAAAAACAGAAAGACTGCAAAAGAAACCTAAATGAGGATTCTTTATTTCCTGATACCAAACAATATAAAATCACTTAACTTTTCTCAGGATAGTATTACCAGGTTTTTTTTTTTTTTTTTTTTTTTTTTTATTAGCTATGTATAGCTTAGTATAGGAGTATAGCTTATACTAAGCTATACACAGTATACCAAAAAAAAAAACCAAACCCACTGCTGTCCAGTCGATTCCCACTCATAGTGACTCTATAAGAGAGTAGAACTGCCCCCATAGGGTTTCCAAGGAGTGGCTGGTTGATTTGAACTGCCAACCTTTTGGTTAGCAGCCGAGCTCTTAACCACTGCACCACCAGGGCTCCACTAGTATAGCTATGTACAACTTAGTATAGGAGTCCCTGGGTGGCACAAATAGTGAAGCACTGGACTACTAACCAAAAGGCTGGTGGTTTAAAGCCACCCAGAGGCCTGATAATCTGCTTCCAAAAGGTCACAACCATAAAAACACGATGGAGCACAGGTCTTTTCTGACATACACGAGGTCACCATGAATCAGAACCAAATCGACGGTAACTGGTTTGGGGTAGGTACTTTGTAGGTATATAATAAACAACTTTCAGGAAAATCAGTTTAGTCCTGGATTTGAAACCCAACCTCATCACTTACTGACTTTATTACTTCTTGACTATGGACCTCAGATAAGTTCCTTAACTTCTCTATGTCTAAGTTTTCTCATCTATAAAGTGGAGAGACTACCAACTCTAAAGTTGTTATGAAGATAAAATGAAATAATACAGATAAAATTATGGCACTGAACCTGGCACTTAGAAATCAATAAATCATAGCTATTGTTATTGATTTTTATTGTATTTTCATAGTGTTTATATACATAAGTATTCAACTCAAAAATCTCCAAACTTAAAGTACACTGAGATTTAAATCACCAATAATTGTTACTTGGTTATCAACATCTCTAAATCTTGGACTGAGGCTCTTTATGCTTATTATATAGATATATAAGCAGACCAGAATATAACTATCTGCTAAATCTAGGCAAATTCAAAAAACAAAAAGGACCCAGAAAGAGCTGAGTATGCCAGATTCCTTCTCCCAATTTCATCAATCACAGAGAGAGGGGAAAATGTTGCTCTATCTCTTCCCTCTGGAAGAGTGGAATGCAAATTCCCTCTGGACTATGGAAGCACAACAAAGGGAAAGTTAATCCCCTCCTCTTATGGACTGAATTGTAATCTCCAAAAAGATACGCTGAAGTCCTAACTGCTGTACCTGTGAGTGTGACCCTGTTTGGAAATAGGGGCTTTCTTTTGTTATCTTAATGGAGTCATGCCAGCATAGGGTGGGTCCCTCTGAGTAGTGTATTATAAAAAGGGAAAATAGACACTGAGAGAGACACACGGGGAAGACCATGTGAGGGCCCATCTACAAGCCACTGAGCACCAAGAAAACCACAAGGCAGTAACCTGATTTGGATTTCTTGTCTCCCAAACTGTGAAACAGCAAATTTCTGTTCTTTAAAGCCACCCACTTGTGGTATTTTTGTTATGGCAGCACTAGGTAACTAAGATACGTCCTAAAACAAGACACTGTGCTAGATGCAGGGGCTAGAAAAAGATATGATCCTTGCCTTCAGACTTGGACAAGATAATGCCCCCTGCTACAGTAGCTCACAGTTTAGCCAAACTGGGGTTTCGGGGTTGAATGTGAGGTGCCCCAAAAGGATCCAGTGGAGATATCAAGAAAACAATCTGAATACATCTGGAACTCAGAGTAGAACCCAGGCTGGAAATAAAGACTTCACAGTGTTTAAGGTGACCATTAAAACTGTGGGAGAAGAAGCTGCCCAGCAAAAGAGAACAGGACTAAGGACAGAATCTCAGCAAGTGATAAAGAACAGAGGTGGGGTGGTGGAGTGGAGTGGAGGAGCCTGTGAAAGAGCAGTAGAAGAAAGAGAAGGAGGAATAAGGTGAACTGGTACAATGTTTCTCACTTCCCATCCATCCAGTGATCTTTCTAGCAAATAAAAGATTCTCAATCTTTTTCTCCTGGCAAATGATATCCACATGAGCACCTTATTCCCATGGGCACACCCAGATTTTGACAAATCCCCCTAAAAGTTGCTAAGAAGTAAATACTGTGCTGCTGAAGAGATAGGGGAAGGTTGGAAGACAAAGGACAGTGTGTGAATAAGTACATAAAAGCATTCTGAAGTCCGCAAGCAGTTATTAATAAAACATCATTAGTCATGACTGCAGGCAGTAGATAAATTAGACAGCCTTTGGGTTACGCCAAATTGCCAAAACACTTGCACAAACACCTTTCTCTTCCACTCAGGAAAACTCATCAGAATGTCAATCAGAGTGATGTTAAAATATAATCTGAAATTTAATCAGATTTACAATAGTTAAATCATATTTGTCTGAAAACATTTGAGAAAAACTGTACTGGAAATATGCTGTTTCAATTTACCCTGGCTGAACCCACTCGCTCCCTCCCAGGAGGTCATCTTGCTGCGGGAGACTCAAAACTTCACCCCTGGAGAGTATCTCAGCTGATATTTAACTACTGAAAGTCAGTGTTTTCCTAGCTCCGAGAATGATACGTAGATAAGAAAGCAACATTTTACTGGTTTTCACAGGATTCCTTTTTGCTTGCCAAATGGCAAGCCATTCTTTCACCTAAAATAGAACCTCGCTGAGGATAACTGGCTTTTTACAAACTCTCATTGGTTGTTACTGGGCCCCTGCATTTTCCAAGCGTTTGGAAACTAGGTGATTACTTCAGAATTTAGTCTTTGCAGACATCCAAGTTAAGCTTTTCAATCCTGTAATCTTAAGAGCCAGACTCTCTCAAAAGATGAGTCCTATTGCTACTTTACGAAAACCGGATTCAAGTCACAGATAACACTAAAATCAAGGCATTTAGAAAGAAGAGATTCAAGCTTAAGAAGCCAAGCAATCACAGGGGTAAAACAGGATAATAACAGCACCTGTCTCATAGGGTCGTAGTGAAGATTAAATAATTACTTCCAAAGTAAAGCTCTGGGAACAGCGCCTGGCGCACAAGCACTCAACAAACGTTAACCATTAACCAGCACCAAGGCGCTCCGGGGGGACTTCGTCGAGCTGCGGGGCCGGCCGAAAGCGAAGGGAAGACGCCCGAAAGGGAAGACAAGGCTCGTCCCAGGGCGCTGGGGTGGATGCCTCTTTAGGAAGCGTCAATGCGTTGTCAGGCAACCGGGTCACAACAACACGCAAAGCAGCAACCCCCGAGTCGGGACCCCGTAACCTAGGCACCGCCCCTGTTCCGCCCAGCCACCGCGAGACCACAGCCCCAGCAACGCGGACACCGCCTCCGACCCGCCCGACCGCCCCGAGACCTCCGCCACCAAGAAGCCCCTGCTCCGCCGGGCAGACGAGACACTCCCGGCCCCTCGGAGACCCCGGCCCCGGTTACCCGGGCACCGCCCGCGCCGGCCCGGCAACCGCTAGACTGCAGCCCGTAAGGAACTGCCGACCCCATAACCCAGACACCGTCCCCGCTCTGCCCAGCAGTCGTGAGATCCCCGCGCCCTGCTTCGTAGCACGGGCACCTCCCCCGGCCCGGGCGCCACGAGACCCCCGTTCCCAGCAAACCCTTGCTCCGCGCGGCAGCCGCGAGACCTCCGCCCTTCGGTGAGCGCCGGTTCCCCGTTACCTGGACACCGCCCGCGCCGGCCCGGCAGGCGCTAGACTCCGGCCCGTAAAGAACCCTCGACTCCATAACCCGGGCATTGGCCCTGGCTGGCCAGCCGCGAGATCCCAGTCCTGCTGGGACCCACCGTTCCCGCCCCCGGCCCCAGGGCCGCGAACCCAGCCCCGGTATACTTCCCACGGGGCCACACCCGCCGGGCCCGCTCCTCCTCCCCAGCCGGCGGACTCTTACTCAGGAGGGCTGATTTTCGTCCGGGGAGCCGCAGAGCGCTCCAGTGAGGCGGCTTCACTGTCTAGAGAAGTGGCGGTGGCCGCCAGCCGCGGGAACAGTGTGACCGGCCGCCCCTCTGGGCTCCGCCTCTCAGGCCGAGCACTCCGCCCGCCCTTAG